CCCAAGCACCGGCCCGCCGCACTCTCGCCCCTTCTAACACACCCCTGCCCCCCAAACCGCCCAAACCGCCCGAAAAATTGAAATCCACAGAGGAGGCGAACCCGTGCCGCTGCTACCTGTATATGAACCTGGCCGGCAACACTCGCTTCTGCCCCACCGCCCAGACTGTGGCGCAGCTCTCGCGGGCAGCCGTCGCGCAGCTGTCGCGCCGCAACGCGATCAACATCACGTGCACGCTGGGTGAGAAGAGGGGCAGCTGTCAGTGCAGCCGGTTTGAACGCTGGGGGCGGCCTGACGTTGGAGGCAGCCAAGCGGCGCGGCTTGATTTGCCTGGCTGGCTATCCAAGGCTGTGCGCCGCCCCCACTCCCGGGCCCCCGCGCGCCGGCACGCGCAACCGCCTCATCCCCTCTTCATCACCCGCGCCGCGTCACCCGCTGTCACCAGGCGACATGACCCAGACCACGATGAGCCAGTACCTGAGTAACCCCGCGGCCTTCATGACGTCGATCCCGCCGGCCCCGCCCAGCAAGGGGCTGACCAGCTCACCGTCTTCTGGTCCCAGGGGCCAAAAAGGCGGCAAGCTCGGGGCCGGCGCGATCGCGGGCATTGTGATTGGCGTCCTGGCCGCCGTGGGCATCGTCGGGGCGCTCGCGTTTTTCGTCATCCGCCCCATCATCCAGGTGTGCATGAATGTGTGAAAAAAAACGCCAAGGCTGCCCGGCCGACGCGCAGGGGGCGCTGGTTCGGGGGCGCTGGCTTGCCTTCGAGGGCGCCGTTCCGTGCAGCAACACTTGCGCCCCCAAATCTTGGCTGCAGCAGCTGGGATGGGCGCGCTGCAGATCCGCATGACGTCCTGCGGACGTCATCTCAACGCACGCCATCTTGATCCCTCCCCGCCCCTGACCCGCCCTCATCTCGATCTCTCAGGAGCGGAAGGCGCAGGGGTTCTTCAAGACCCGGGAGCTCGACCTCCCGACTTCTACGTCGATTAACAACCACAACCAACACGGCGGCGCCGCCGCCGCCCTGGAGACGGGGTGGGGCCGGACGTATCCCGCCAACGGCGGCTTCCCTGCAAACGGCAACGCGGCGGACCGAGCGATCTGAGGCCAACGCCGCGACTTTTCTGCGCCCCGCGTCACGGCGGTCGTGCGTGTGAGGGAGTGAAGAGAGGGGCAAGCAGCGAGCGCCGCGCCCGCCCGCGCGGCGGCAGCGGCGCCGCCGCCGCGGGCCCGGCAGAATGCGCCGCGCGGCGCCGCGGGCCGGGCAGGGTTGGATTGCAGGTGGGCCAACGCCCACAGCGGCTGGCTGGCTGCGGGGGCCCGCGGCGCGTGCCAGCAGCGCGGCCGCAGCCCCCGCCTCGCACGCCCTTTGAACACTTGCCATTTCCTTCAGGGCGGGGAGCGTCGCTCAGTCGAAGGCGCCGCAACTTGCCGCGCGCGACCCCTCTTCCTTGGCGCCCGGACGAGGCGCCCGGGGCCGGGGCGGGGCCTGGCGCCGCCGGCGTCGCGCCGCCGCTGAACTAACGTCTTGCTTGCACCGCGCGCGGCCTTCCGGCTTCCCCGCGGCGCCTGGATCCGCCCCGGCCCCGCCCCCTCTCATTTTGGCATCTCAGCGGCGCCCGGCGCCCAGCCGAGGCCCAGCGCCGCTGCCCTCTCTTTCTACTGATTGAATTGCGGCAGGCCGCTTGCAGCCGTTTGTCAGCTGCAGCAACAGTCACTCACACTGACAAAAGTGGCCAACGGGCCCCGACAGTGCTGTCTTATTCCAGAGCCGTGTGTCCTGCGTTTCTGGCACTGATGAGCCACCCAAACCTCAACATCGCCCACATGTTTGCCTTTCTGTTTGGGATACCCTGTTGACAACGCATTCGTGATGCGCACATTGCTTTTCGCCGGCGCCGATGCGCGCGGCGGTGCGCGGCAGAGCGGCGAGGCCCTCGGCCCGCGGAGCCCGCAGCCCTGGCAAGGGTCCCTAAAACTTGTTTGTTTGTAATAAGTGTGCATGCATGTATGATGTTGTATCCAGAGACACACCCCTCGCCCTCTTTCGGATCCCGTGGCCCGCCTGCCAGCGGCCCTGTGTCCCGACCGACTGCCTTGAGCTGCACAGGGCGCCCCTGCCACCCACAGGGGTGGATGGGGCTGCCGCCCACCAGCCTGCCATTCACCGAGAACAAGCGGATCCCGATAGCCAACATGGAGGTGGGCGTCCAAGCAGCAGTCGCAGGTGGTCTGCACGCACGCTGTTTGCTCACGGCCCGGACCGGGCAGAGGGCGGGAGGGGGTGGGGTGCGCGGCGTGCGGGCGTTTGGGGTGTTGGTCAGGCGGAGCTGTCGCGGCTCATGGAAGGCAGGATACCCACGCCACGCTCGGCTTTGGCCGTCCTACAATACCAGTATAGTGTATTCTCGTGAGTCGCCGGGCCTACTTTGCGCTGTTTTGGCCGGGAGATATGGTATGCACGCACGGCACGCGAATGGAGCGTGCGAGCGGCACCCACACGCGTGCGCCCGCCCGCCCCGCCACTGCAGGATCGGGGGAAATGCTTGGACAGCAACAAGCTATTATTGTATCCGTGGAATCAGTTGATCGGCGGGTGGGATTGAGACACATACTGCACGTACGTATTGGCGAGGCACCAGCAAACCGCCCCTGAAGAGGTGCCTTCGGCGTTGGGGACACCAATCGCATCTGCTCTTTTTGAACATATGAACTTCTTGACTGCATCTCAAACGCTTTGCTTGAACCCAGATCACCACACTGAGACTGACGAGAGTCCGCAGGATCGCCGAAATAGAAAGCTCCAAGTGGTCTAGGGGTCACTCTTGGTGCTAGAGGCGGTGGTACCGCGCCCCATAGGCGGGATGGAGGCCACTATAGTCTGCATCGACAACAGCGAGTGGACCCGCAGCGGGGACTACGCCCCCACGCGGTTCCAGGCCCAGGCGGATGCCGTGAACCTCTTGGCGGGCGCCAAGACGCAGGCCAACCCGGAGAACACCGTGGGCGTGCTGACCATGGCTGGCAAGACGCCGCGCGTGCTCGTGACGCCGACGCCCGACCTGGGCAAGGTGCTCAACTGCATGACCGACATCCCCGTCGAGGGCGAGACCAACATCGCCGCAAGCGTGCAGATCGCGCAGCTGGCGCTGAAGCACCGGCAGAACAAGAACCAGCGGCAGCGCATCGTGATTTTCTGCGGCAGCCCTGTAAAGGAGGAGCAGGTGCGCGCACACGCTGTGCTGTTCCATCCGCCTGGCTGCACGCCTGGCGGCCGGCCGCCCGTGACGTTTTCCCCCTCTGCAATTTGCGTTGGCGCGCGTGACCGCGCCAGCGGTCGCGCTCGGCCCCAATCTTGCCCACTCTGCCGCATGCAATGCAAAACATGGTGGAAAATAAACAGGAGAAGCTGATCAAAATCGGAAAGAAACTGAAGAAGAACAACGTTGCGGTCGACATCGTGTCTTTTGGCTGTGAGGTGGGCGGGGCGACGCAGCCGCGGCGTGGCTGCCGGCGAGTGCATACACGCAGGTGCTCATGCATCTGTGCGCGCCTGTGTGTGTGGGTGTGTGTGTGTGTGTGTGTTGCAGCATGCCAGCGGACCAGTTTGAGTGCAGCTGTGCTGTTCGTTTGCATGCGCGTGCGCAAACGTGAGACGACCGCATCTTCCTAACGCAGCACGCCGCCCGCGGCGCCGCAAGCCCTCGCCCGCGCCCCCACCCCCCTGCGCCTCTCTCGTGCGGCCCACGATTTTTCGCACTCAGCAAACCCCAACCCCGCACCCCTCTCCCCCGCGCACCCCTCTCTTCCCCAATAAAGACCGACAACGACGAGAAGCTCTCGGCGCTGCACGGCGCCGTGAACAGCGGCGAGAACAGCCACCTGGTGTCGGTGCCGCCGGGGCCCATGCTGAGTGACGTCCTCATTGGGTCCGCCATCTTCCAGGTCGGCGGGGCTTTCGAATTTCAAGTTTTGGCGCGCTTCCTTGCTGGGGTTTGTGTGCTGGGTCTGGAGTATACGTCAGCTCCCTTGCATGGGGGTCGGCCCGGGGCTTGACTGTGGCGGCCGCCTCGCATGGGGAGTGGATCGGGTGTCGGGTTTGGCGGCCGCTTTGCGTTGAGGGTGGCGGCTGCCGTGCGTGGTGATTCCCAGCGGTGCCCACGGCTGCGCATGTGGGTTTTTTTGGGGAGGATGGGGGCTGGGGTGGGCGTCGGGGCCCCAGCGTTCATGGAGGGTCACGCCATGGGGCGCCGTGTGAATGAGGCCGCGCCGGCGCCGGACGCTTCCGCAGGGCGAGGGCGGCGGCGCGTTTGGCGGTGGCGGCGGCGGGGGCGGCGGCGGTGGCGGCGGGGACGGATTCGAGTTTGGTGTGGACCCCAGTCTGGACCCAGAGCTTGCGCTGGCGCTCAGGTATGGGAGTCGGGCAGGCACGACGCTCGAAAACGGCGTGTGCCCAGCTCGCGTGCGAAATGCAACCCAGCGCCGCCTTTGGACGATTTCGCTCCGCGGCGGCGGGTGGCTGCGGCTGCAGTGATGGTTGAGGTTCAGCTGCCTGGGCAGGCGTGCGGGAGCTGGCTGAGCTGTTTTTCAGAGGTCCAGGCATTGAAACCAGACTGTTTGCTTGGGTGTGCTTGTGTCCCCCAGCCCCAGACCCTTTCAGTTAGTCGCCGTCTACCTTGTGTCCTGATTTTGATGCGGTCTTTGTGAACCACACAGGGTCTCCCTAGAGGAGGAGCGGGCGCGCCAAGCGGCCGCCGCGGCCGCCGCCGGCGGCGGCGAGGCGGGCGCCCCGGCCGAGGGCGCAGCGGCTGCTGGCGCTGGCGGTGCGGCCCCCGCG